TCACCTATTACATCTTGTAAACCTGTAAGATAAGGACGGAAAATTTGTGGAAGTTGTTTCAAAAATCTTTTCGAACCAGGTCTAGCAAACGACTGGCTTACATATGAATTGTGTCTCACGGGTTCTTCGTTTAAATCTGGGAACAAGTCTCGTACGCTTGTTACATATGAACTACGTCTCACTGTTTCAATATTTTTTGGTTCCAAATTCAAGTCTATATCAAAAAATATGGTGGAATAACTAATTTTACCAGGATCTTGATTTTTTTGATCAACACACTTCTTTTTTTTGTTTCTTCAAGCTTGGCTGCCTGCGAGTATTTTTTTTAACTACGGGTTCTCTAATAAGATTTGTGCTTGGATTGAATATATCACCTAGCTTTCTTAAGAAACTCTTCTTTCCAGCGTTGGAATGCCTTTTGAATTCTTCTTTGAAAATGTGCAGTTCATCGTCGCATTGAATATCTTCATTTTCCAAGGGTGTTGACCATGAAACATCTAGTGTCCTCCAAAAAATATCAATTAAATCCAAAGGAATATCCTCACCTGAAAAAACAAGTTTTAGTTTCTAAAAAACTAAGGCCTCCAAATAATCAAATGATTTTAGTTAAATAAATTGACCGGAATTTAAGTACGCTAAAAGTACGCAAGTACAAGGTAGTCCACAACTCTTACGAAGTTGACAACCACATGTTGAGTAGTTAAACTCAAGATCATTCAATCGATTGTTGGCCTGTAATTTTTCAAAATATTTTGGCTAATGTGCCATCTACAAAGTAATCGAGTAGCATTCAGAAAAACTTTTTCGCATGCTTTCATGAGAGCCAACTCTCTGTCGGTAATTATAACACGTGGTAGCATGCACTCATCTAGTGTCAACTTTAAACACTCTAACACCCACTTATAGTTGTCCATCTTTTCTTCACTTATAAAGGCAAAAGCTATGCAAAATGACTTTTTTTATAGAAGTTACACCAACAATCTCAACAAAAGGCATATTATACTTGTTCGTCTTGTACGTAGCATCTATCATCAACACATGTGGTAATGCACGCCATATCTTAAAAGATGTTGGATGAACTAAAAATAAAGCTTCCAGCTCGTTCGTAACATCATTTATAGAAAAGTCGTGAACATAACCATCGGAGTGTAAAAGAGACATAAGAACCTACATTCAAATTTTCATAATTAAATTACACTTTGATTATTTGAAAATAAAAAGTCAAAATATAAAGGAAACATAAAAAGATGTGTAATGTTTTACCTGCATCGTACTTTTCCCAACTTGTAAGGACTTGCGAATTTTATATTGTGCATTATATATGTCTTTAAGTGTTGACACGTTATTTTCATTTTGCGACTTTAATATCGATCGAATGTCACGTGGTGGCATATTCTTCTTTGCCATATCTTCAACTAATCGATATTCATCTTTAGACAATCGTCTCGCATATGGATGCCCCTCCATATGTTGCGCATGAAGATGATTATGTTCATCACATATTACACTTATCAACCAACCATTATATATACTTGAATACTTTCCTACCAATTGGAATGGACAATTAATTTTTCGAGTAGCAAAAAACTTACTTGTTTCCTTCGGTTTATATTCACCACCAAGATCACACATAAATGTGACTTCATACAAAAAACCACTTGTATTTGTGTATGATCTTTGAGTTATTATGACGTAACCAATAGAGCGCCCCTTGCTTTGCGCCCAATTTTTTAAACACCTAAAATTCAATTTATTTTCATTTATGAAAATATTCTCTTGCAAAATATATATAGTAGTAAATAAAATTAAAAAAAATTATAATATGTGATTGTTTTACCTGATTAGAGAAAAAAGGTGACGTCGATGTAGAAAATTCAGCACCATTTGAGTTGTTCATCAACCCTCTCTTAGCTCAGATATGCTCTCATCTTTTCTTTTCCTTTTGTTGATAGTGGTTCCTTCAATATATGCTCCTCTATTGATGGTGAATAGGGCTGGCAATTATCCATGGGTGAGTGGATTATCCACCCACCCGCCCCGAATAAATAGATGAAAACCCGCTGTGAAACGGATGATTGGTGAGTGATGGATGGATCGGGTGATGGGTCGGGTCGGATATGGATGAAATTTTTTTGACCCATCACCTGTAGCATCCATCCACCCATTAATATATCCATCCATCCATATATATACATGGCCTTTACTTTAATATACATGGCCTTTACTTTATTATGTAGAATATACTTTATTATGCAGAATAGTCTGTTAATATGATTATTTAGAATCATACATAGGAATTTTAATATTCTAATTTTGAATTTTCGGATGTCTTGTTTGATATATGATTTAGAAGCTTCTAAGAATGCACATGCTTGTGCTACTATCTTGGAGGATTTTGATGTGGAAGCCGAGGGAAGTTCATCAAGTGTAGTGCTTGATAGTTGATGCAGATGCTAAATCAGTAAATATTCTTATTCTCTTAATTCTGTCTTTTATCCTATTGAAAATATATATAATTTTTTAATATTGGTTTATCCCTATTGATATTAGGATGGAGAGGGAAATGACCATCCAGCTCAGTTGGTAGAGCACAAGGTTCTTAACCTTGAGGTCGTGGGATCGAGTCCCACGGAGGGCATTTTATAATTCGGAAGTCTCCTATGGAAGCTGCTCTCAACCTGGTGTTGGGGGCAGTCTACTATCTTACCTCCACCTTACCCCATACATATGGGAAAAAAGGGACAGAAAAAAAAATATTAGGATGGATAGGACTTTTGAGAAGTGATAGTTTGTTGATGAAGATTTGACGATTATATTTGGTGTACAAGACTATACATGATGCATCTATTCACTTAAAAAATGTATAACAAACATAGTGCATAAGACTATATAAATTGTGTTCCATTTTGTTTTTCTTTGAATTTGATGAAAATTTATTGTTCATGTTTTGGTTTCTATGAATGTTTGAGTATCAATTTTTGGTTTCTATGAATGTTAGAAGAATTTGAGCTTAGAAGTAAAAATAGGTTTTGTTCATAGTATCATCCATTTTTCATCCGCTCCACCCATAGATGATGGATGGAGCGGATATGGATGAAATTTTTGGTGGGTGATGGATGGTGTGGATGGAGATTTGGACCGCAGGTGATGGGGAATGAAGCTCCACCCGACCCATCTCCGATCCATTGTTAGCCCTAATGGTGAATTTTTGTAGGGTATGGGAGTGGTGAGTAGAACAGGGTGTGGTGAGTAAGTGGGAGTATGGGTGGAGTTTGCTTAGTTGTGGTGCTAGCGTGGGAGACATGGGTGGTACTCCCACTTTTTGCAAAAAGCAACTCTATAAATAATGATTTGACCTGGTAAGTTTAGTAAATGGTGCCAAAACCTGGTTTGACCTGGTACATTTAGTAGTGTCCGACATTTATCATGTAATGGATGATTGTTAATAGATAGTGTATTTTTTTGTGGGGAATTTATTTAATGGGTAGTGGAGGAAATGATTGTTTAATGGTAGGTTTAATAAATCTTGGTAGCTTTAGTTGTACCTAATATAAAAACCTCATATGCAAAGAAGGAGAATCAATCATGGGACCTCTTGTAAGAGGTAACCATGTCCATGCCCAACCACTGAGCCACATCATCCATCGCGTTAGACTATAATTAGTCATTTGACGGATCTCAATGACCGAGGAAACGTTTTGTTATTTTTCATAACATTAATGATTATTTTGTTGCTTTTAAAACATTAGTGAGAAAAATATAAACTTATTAATATTGCAATGACTATTTATGTAGTTTATCCTTGTGATAGGGAAGATAATTCAAATGAAGATGATGGCACTATTGAATTGGACAACATACTGTGATTATATATTGGAAACAATGAATTAAATAAATTATATGTTAGTGTCAATGGAGAAAATGAGGAAATGGAGAAAAAAGGAACAAAAGCAACTTCATAGAGGGCCCATACCATGTCTTCTCAGTTAGACGCCAGAGGTGTGATTTTCATCTTTCTCACCACTGCACTATTCTCTCCTTTTTCCTTCATCATTTATTAGCAAAAATACCCAAAGAGTTGATTTGGAAACAAAGATCGGTTCTGGTTAATCATGTCAGGTGATATAGCCAAAGATTCCGGTAAAGGGTCGTCGCGATCCACCTGAAACAACCAATTCCACCACCATCAACAGCAGCTCGATAAGCCGGTTGCTCCTTTGAGCAGGTACGAGTCGCAGAAACGCCGAGACTTGAACAATTTCGGGCAGTATTTGAAGAACCAGAGACCACCAGTTGCGATATCGCAGTGCAACTGCAACCACGTTCTCGATTTTCTTCGATATATCGATCAGTTCGGGAAGACTAAGGTTCACTTACATGGATGTGCCTTTTTCGGACAACCTGACCCGCCTGCTCCTTGTACTTGTCCACTAAGGCAAGCTTGGGGCAGCCTCGATGCACTCATCGGACGACTAAGAGCTGCTTACGAAGAACACGGCGGGTCACAGGAGAATAACCCGTTCGGAAACGGAGCGATTCGGGTTTTCTTGCGTGAAGTGAAGGAGTGTCAAGCTAAGGCCAGAGGGATTCTATACAAGAAGAAGAAGAAGAAGATTCAAATTAAACCCAACGTGAAGGACGAGGCTAATTCATCATCGAAGCAGCAGCCTGTCCTACTTAGCTCTAACTAAGAGCTTTTTACGGTAATTCTTTTTTACTTCGATATATACATGCAAACTCCTCCATTGCCATGATGATGATGATGGTTTAAGAACAAAACTGTTAGATATCTTGAATAATTACTGAAAAAGGTAAACAAAATTGAAATTGATTGGGACAATAAACCCTAAAGCCATTTCTGAGAAAGCCCTAATTTTAACCCTTACCGTTGGTCTCTTTAGAAGGGTTAGTGCTGTAAGCAGTAATGGATGAAGCGTCTCTAAAATTTTTAAATTCTCATTTATTTTAGATATTTTTTAATTTTCTAATGATAATATATTTTTATTTCCTTGAGTTTTATAATTGTATCTTACATAAAATATTATAAATTCTTCTTCTAATATAAAATATCACATCCGTCTCTTCTAGAAAGTAGTTGTACCTCAATAATTTTTTTCACCTTCTCTTACTATTACGACCCATGAAGGAGAAAGATTACCCCTCAAAATACATTTTTTTCTCACTTCTTTACCTTTTCCCTGTTTTTGGGCTCTTTTTTATTCTGTTGGATTTTAAGCCCCCATGTATGAATGCCCTATGCTGTCATCTTTTCTTTTTTCTATTTTTTATTTTTTTTTGTTGATAGTGGTTTCTTTAATATATATTCCTCTATTGATGGTAAATTTTTATAGGGTATGGGTGTGGTAAGTAAGTGGGAGTATGAGTGGAGTTTGTTTGGTTGTGATGCTAGCGTGAGAGACATAGGAGGTGCTCCCACTTTTTACAAAAAAAAACTCTATAAATAATGGTTTGACCTGGTAAGTTTAGTAAATGGTGTCTAAAGTTGGTTTGACCTAGTACATTTAGTAGTGTCAGACATTTATCATGTAATGGATGATTGTTAATAGATAGTGGATTTTTTGTGAGGAATTTATTTAATGGGTAGTGGAGAAAATGATTGTTTAATGGTAATGTGTAGTGGAGGAAATGATTATTTAATAGTAAGTTTAGTAAATCATGGTAGCTTTAGTAGTATCCAATAATGATTGCTATAAAACAACCAATTGGATTTCAACACTGAAAGAAATTAGCAATGGAATTAACAGGGTACTACTAAAGCTACCAAGATTTACTAAACCTACCATTAAACTATCATTTCATCCACTACCCATTACCATTAAACAATCATTTTCTCCACTAACTATTAAATAAATTCCCCACAAAAAATCCACTATCTATTAACAATCATCCATTACATGATAAATGTCAAGTACTACTAAATGTATCATGTCAAACCAGCTTTTGGCACCATTTACTAAACTTACCAGGTCAAACAATTATTTATAGAGTTGCTTTTTGCAAAAAGTTGGCGCACCACCCATGTCTCCCACGCTAGCACCACAACCAAGCAAACTCCACTCATACTCCCACTTACTCACCACTCCCTGTTCCACTCACCACACCCATACCCTGCAAAAATTCACCATCAATAGAGGAGCATATATTGAAGGAACCACTATCAACAAAAAAAAAGACGAGAGCATATATGAACCAAGGGAGGGTCGATGAACAACTCAAATGGTGCTGAATTTTCTACATCGACGTCGCCTTTTTTCTCTAATCAGGTAAAACAATCACATATTATAACTTTTTTTATTTTATTTACTACTATATATATTTTGCAAGAAAATGTCGTCATAAATGAAAATAAATTGAATTTTAGGTGTTTTACTCTCACGAAGATTTAAAAAATTGGGCGTAAAGCAAGGGACGCTCTCTTGGTTACGTCATAATAACTCAAAGATCATACACGAATACAAGTGGTTTTTTGTATGAAGTCACGCTTATGTGTGATCTTGGTTGTGAATATAAACCGAAGGAAAAAAGTAAGTTTTCTGCTACCCGAAAAATTAATTGTTCATTCCAATTGATAGGAAAGTATTCAAGTATATATAATGGTTGGTTGATAAGTATAATATGTGATGAACATAATCATCTTCCTGCACAACATATGGAGGGGCATCCATATATGAGACGATTGCTAAAGATGAATATCGATTGGTTGAAGATATGACAAAGAAGAAAGTGCCACCACGTGACATTCGATCGATATTAAAGTCGCAAAATGAAAATAATGTGTCAACACTTAAAGACATATATAATGCACAATATAAAATTCGCAAGTCCTTATAAGTTGGGAAAAGTACGATGCAAGTAAAACATTACAGATCTTTTATGTTTCCTTTATATTTTGACTTTTTATTTTCAAATAATCAAAGTGGAATTTAATTATGAAAATTTGAATGCAGGTTCTTATGTCTCTTTTACACTCCAATGGTTATGTTCATGACTTTTCTACAAATAATGTTATGAACGAGCTGGAAGCTTTATTTTTTGTTCATCTGACATCTTTTAAGATATGGCGTGCATTCCCACATGTGTTGATGATAGATGCTACGTACAAGACGAACAAGTATAATATGCCTTTTGTTGAGATTGTTGGCGTAACTTTTACAAGAATGTCATTTTGCATAGCTTTTGCCTTTATAAGTGAAGAAAAGATGGACAATATAAGTGGGTGTTAGAGTGTTTAAAGTTGACACTAGATGAGTGCATGCTACCACGTGTTATAATTACCAACAGAGAGTTGGCTCTCATGAAAGCATGCAAAAAAGTTTTTCCGAATGCTACTCGATTACTTTGTAGATGGCACATTAGCCAAAATATTTTGAAGAATTGCAGGCCAACAATCAAGACGTAACGTGATTGGGACTCTTTTCCTTTCGATGTGGAAGTTACTAGAAGATTCTCCGATGTAGATATCGTACATGGAGAACTACAAGCAACTTCAATTAGTATTGAGGAAATATCCATGTAATTTTTTATATTTGACATATTTTAATTTTTAATATTATTTTTTAATAGTTCATATCAAATAATTATATTTTAATTTTATTTAACTTTTCAGGTGTTTTAAGTTATTTGGATGAACAATGGCTGAATAATTATAAAGAAAGCTTTGTGTCTGCATGGAGTGACCAGTCTCTCAACTTTGGCAATAGGGCTAGCAATAGATCGGAGATGGGTCAAGTGGAGCTTCATTCGCCCCATCACCCACGGTCCAAATCTCCATCCATACCATCTATCACCCACAAAAAATTTCATCCATATCGCTCCATCCATCATCCGCGGGTGGAGCGGATGAGAAATGGATGATTGTTGAGTTAATCGAACGACGGAATCAGCCAAGAGGGGGTGAATTGACAATTAAAATTTTGGTGGAAGCTTTTGCAGAAAATTGAAAAGATTTGCACAACGATTTAGAGTGGTTCGACTTTCTTAAACAAAGTCTAGTCCACTACCTTAGTTATCCACACTAAGGATTTTCCAACAAATTCACTAATTTGTTCTTTCTTTTGAGGCTAAAGAGATAACCTTTCAACATTCTCAAGAATATACCCCAATTCTTGAGAACACTCTTTCTCAAAGAGAAGATTACAAATTTACAAACTTACAAGGAAATCCTCACAAGGTAAATTGTTTGCACAATTCTAGAACAGATAAAAGAACACTAAAAAATGAATACAATTGAGTACAAGTAGTGTTCTTGAAAGCAAAATGAATATTGAAAGGAAAATTGGCTTGAATTACACAAACTTGGTGTTTGATGCTTTCTCTCTTGTTTCTTTATGATTTCTTCTTGATTGTTGTTGATCAATGACTTCTAAACTTGTTTAAATACACCTTTAAATGATTTTGAATGTTGGGGATGATTAGTGGAGTCAATGGAGCGTTTGAGTGTGAAAACAATTAATAAAACAGCTTGGAGCGTGGGGGTATCGGTACCCCTTCATAGGTATCGGTACCTGTAGTGTAAAATTCAAATATTTCGACTGTTATATGCCTTAGGGTATCGGTACCATCATAGGGGTATCGATACCATTACATAGGGGTATCGATACCATTGTGAGGGTATCGATACCATTCAAGCATTCGGTTATTCTCGGAACCAAAATGTTCACAGGGGTATCGGTACCCTATAGGGGGTATCGGTACCCTGTAGGGGGTATCGATACCATACTTAATTATTTTCATTTTTGGCTCGAATATGGCTCGAAATACTTTGTAAAAATTGTTTCAAAAATATTTTAAGATTGAAACTTAATTTTACACTTGAGTAAGGATTGAAATAGACTTTTGAAAACTTGGAGTAATAATTTTCATATTCGAATCGAATATATAGTAAAATCTTAAAATTAATTAACATTTAATTTGTTATATCGAAACATCAAAATGTTTTCAACAATGATACTATGAACAAAACATATTTTTACATCCTAAGCTCAAACTCTTCTAACATTCATAGAAACCAAACATTGATACTCAATTATTCATAGAAACCAAAACATGAACAATAAATTTTCATCAAATTCAAACAAAAACAAAATGGAACACAGTTTATATAGTCTTGTGCACTATGTTTGTGATACATTTTTCAAGTGAATAGATGCATCATGTATAGTCTTGTATACCAAATATAATCTTCAAATCTTCATCAACAAACTATCACTTCTCAAAAGTCCTCTCCATCCTTGTATCAATAGGGATAAACCAATATTAAAAAACATATTTTCAATGGGATAAAAGTCAGAATTAAGAGAATAAGAATATTTACCGAGTTAGCATCTGCATCAAGCACTACACTTGATGAACTTCTCTCGTTTTCCACATCAAAATCCTCCAAGATAGTAGCACATGCATGTGCATTCTCAATAGAATCTTCTGAAATCATATATCAAACAAGACATCCGAAAATTCAAAATTACAATATTAAAATTCCTATATATGATTCTAAATAATCACATTAACATACTATTCTACATAATAAAGTAAAGGCCGTGTATATAATAAAATAAAGTATATTTACTTGCATAATGTCCATGGATCATATTTTGAATACACATAAGTGCCTCCACTGTGTCAGCATGAAGGCTCGAACGATGGGGACTCACTACCCTTCCACATACTAAAAGTGCTCTCAGAGGCCACTGTTGATGCATGATTGCCTAAAATATCCTTAGCTGTTTTTCTCAAAGTTGGATATTTCAAATCAATTTTCCAATAATGAAGCATGTTAAATGCACTACTCTCTGGTAATGCATCATCCTCAAGATAGTGGTCTAACTCACATCTCACATTAACCTTTTTTTCTTATTCTTATTAATTTGGGTCCATGTATCATCTTCATAACCGAAAAAACACTTCAAAGGAAAAAAGTTAAAAAAAACTCGCGGCAAAGCTTGAAAGCTTGAAGAAACAAAAAAAGAAGAAGTGTGTTGATCCGAAAAATCAAGATCCTGGTAAAAGTAGTTATTCCACCAGATTTTTTGATATAGATTTGAATTTGGAACCGACAAATATTGAAACGGCGAGACACAGTTCATATGTAACAAGCGCACGCGACTTGTTCCAGGATTTAAACGAAGAACCCGTGAGACACAGTTAATATGTAATCCAGTCGTTTGCCAGACCTGGTTCGGAAAGATTTTTTAAACAACTTCCAAAAATTTTGCGTCCTTATCTTACAGGTTTACAAGATGTAATAGGTGACGGAAATTGCGAATTTTGATCAGTCGCTGTCGCTCTTGGTCTATCTGAGGATCAATGGCCTCGAATTCGGTCAGACTTGGTGCGAGAGTTAGATGTTAACCAGCAAAAGTATAAGTATATATTTGGAACGACATGTTATAAAAAAATCTATAAAACCGTACAATTAGCTGGAAAATAGATGGAAATGCCAAACACAAGATTGATTATTGCTTTTGCATACAATAGAGTTGTTATAAGTCTAGCTAATAGAGGAAACGTCGGAGGTTGTACTACGATTTTCCCGCTTTGGTCCAGTCCACCACAATCAGAGTCACATGGGACAATCTTCATTGCACATGTGAATGATAACCATTATATTAAAGCGGCATTACGCGAAGGTTGTCCTTTGCCGATGACTCATCCACTTTGGATCACATATAAAAGTAACATTGCATCTGCATAGGAAGACCCATATGTTAGTCGTCAGGAAGAGTTTCGTGAATATTATTTTTATATTCCTGAAACTTTTGACCTATCAAAGTAATTATGTAATGTTTAATTTATTGTAATTCTAGTTTATTTATTAATGAATGTTTTAATATTTGCTTTTTATACATGTATGTATAATTAAATCAGTAAAAAAGATAACAAAAATTAAAAAATAAATAATTATTATCATGTTGAAGAAATAAATGAAAAATATTTTAATAAAAAACTTTAATAATGAAGATCTTAATAAAAAAATTTAATAAAAATTAAAAAACATCATTATTATATAATGATAAAAAAGTTTTAATAAAAAATAAAAAAACATAATGATAAAAAAATAATAAGTTTTATAAAATATTTAAACATAATGATAAAACCTTTAATAAAAAAGAAAAAAATATAATGATAAAAAAATGATAAATTTTGTAAAAGATTTTATATATTTAAACTAGAGAAAATCGCCTCAGTGACCAAAAATGCCTTATAATATACGATTTTAACCAACTTTTTCCGGATTTGCCAAAATGACCAACAAAATCACAATGCGATCGCTAATTCGCAACGCGATCTCCATTATCGCAAATTCGCGTTGCATTTCGTGTTGCGATAGTTGGAAATCGCGTTGCGATGGTCTACAGTGTCGTTGCGATTTTCCCAATTCGCAATGCGAATAAGTAAATCGCAACGCGAATTGGGAAAATCGCAATGCGATACTGACTATCGCAATGCGATAATACAAAATTGCAATGCGATACTGACTTTCGCAATGCGATTCTGACTTTCGCAAAGAGATAATACAGAATCGCAATGCGATTTTCAAAGTTCGCAATAGGTTTTAGTTTCGCAACACAAATTTTTTGGGTATATATCTACGCAGCAGCAACAACTCATAACCTAAATCCCTAAATCGCAACTCATTCCATCTCCATCTTTCACTCTCTCTGGTGACATCCGTTCCTACATCCTTCCCCATCCGGCAACAGGTCTTAGTTTCGCAGCTCGTTTGTTTAGTAAATTAATTTACAACCATGAAATCATCTAATGTTGATCATGTTTAGATAGATTTGTGTTTTGGAGGTTCATAGGAGAATGTTCATGGTGTTTTACAATATATGCCTTTACCCATGAATCTTCAACTAAAACTGTCATTAAAAAAGTTAACTTATGAAACTCTAATGTTACGTGTTTCAAAGAAATTGAATTTAGAGCCCCTAAGTGGGTTTAGGCTATCTTATCAGAGAAATGGTAAAGTTTATTTGTTAACCGACAATGAAGATGTTGAACGATTCATTGCTTACATTAGTGTTTCAAGTGATGATGTTACATTGTATGTTGTTGAACCTAGAAGTAGTATTGTTGGGTCAATAGCGGTAGTAATCAACTAAGTTTTTCCTCAAAACCCACAACCTTTCTCTAATCCAATCCCAATAAACTTTCAGCACCAAATTCCGGTTTTCGTATTGACCAATTAGACGATGATGAGCCAACAGAAAAAATTGTGAGTACTAGTCAGTATTCGAAATTTGATCTTGGTCAATACCCGGACTTTGATATTGGTCAATACTCGAATTTTGATGATGTTTCAGAAGAAGAAACAGACTCTGCGTGTAATGATTTTGATATTGGTCAATTCCCGAATTTTGATGATGAAACAGCTGTTGCCGAGGAAGATGTTGTTGATGATAATGAGGAGGAAGTTACGACTGTGAATGAACATGTTGAACATCCATTCTGTAATTCATATAATCCTGAAGAAGAAAAAGAAGAAGAAAAAGTCCCCGAAGAAAAG